TGCTCATTCCGTGGGCTTGGGGAGAGGTCCAGTATCTCTGCATTTTGAACAAATGTCCCATGGGATGCAGACGCAGGGAGTCAGTGGACCATGCTTTGAGAACCACTGTCTTAGCACCTCATCACAAAACCCACAGAGAGAGGTGCTGGCCCTGCAATGCCACCCCTCAGGAAGTCCTGCTCCGTGTAGCCCTGGGAACGTACTCAGCCTGGATCCACCCACAAGCACCACTAAAGGTGTGGCCAACCGGGGTGTGTGTGTGTTGGGGGAGGGGGTCCTGTCTTGGGCACCCACCCCACAGGGCCCAGAGAGCCAAGATTAAGGATATGGCCATTTGGCCTGAGGCTGGTGCCTGATCTCCTAGAAATCCCAGCTCAGCCCCCTGGCATCCCTGGGAAGAAGGGACACTCCACCACCAGCACCATAAGCCCCAGCCACACAGACACTGCAGGGCAGACAGACACAGGCTGGAAGTCAGTGATGGCCGAGCTCTCGGCAGTCATCTGCTCCTAGGCCTCGGGGGGCCAGAGACCCAGAGCAGCTGTGGGGGGTGGTACCAGTACTGGAGTCCAGGATAATCTCCATTTTCAGTGTCTTCCTACTCAGGCAGAGTGAGACGAGAGCGAACTGAAGCTACAGAGAGCCCTGGCGCAGGCCGTGGGCCGCGGTGCTCAAATGCCAAAACTTCTGAGTTTCTACCTGTCAGCTGTGGTTGGGTGGGTGTGGGGATAACACTGTAGGACATTCAGATAGTGACAAAGGATACAAGTGGGGCTGCACCGTGGACCCTCTTCCAGTGAACTCCCAGCCTACCCTGGCCAATCATGCTTCCCTTCCTCCCAGAGACCTGGAGGGGCTCTCCCTCTCTACCCACTTCCTGTTCAGCCCCTGGCCAGAAGTGCCCTCACTGAGACCGGAAAAGGAATTCTGCTCCCAGCATCCTCTGCACCAGAACCCCCTCCTCCCTGTTCCCCAGGCCCTTCTAGCCCGGAAAGCCAGAGCCCCTGATCAGCCTAAAAACTGCTGATTTTCTGCCCAGAACCCAGAGGCTCAGAGTAGCTTGATGACTTTCTCAAGGACACGCAGCGCCAGGCGCGGAGGCTTTCAGGGCACCTTCACCTTCTGATCCCCGAGTGGCTCACCTCTTCTCCCCTCCCTTGTTCTGGGCCTGGGACTCAGAATCACACCTGAGGCTCAAGGACCAGATGTCCACCTGGCTGATTCAGGGATGATATGTAAAGATGAGACAAAACAAAGAGATGGGTAGGCAACGGGGTGATTGTGGTGGCAGGGGGGATTGAATCCTTGACCTCAAAACTACACCTCTACAGGAGAAGCCGCTTTCCCATATTGTGAGTTAGTGGGCCTCCCTTACCCGAATATGCCTGAAATTCCACTATTTATGAACATTTACGTGAGGGTAAGCATTGTTCTTTCTTTGTTCTTCTTTCAAGATGCAAAAGCTCCAGGAGAGGCAGGTCAAGGGGAAAGAGACTGTAGGGACAGCAAAATGTCCCTCTATAAGGAAGAAAGACATTGTGGGAGAATCCCAGGAGGACCCTCTGGGATTAGCAAAGCTGTGGACAAGGCTTGCACAAGACAAGAGCATTAGTCATTGGTTGAGTTTACATAGGCCCTACAGCAGTTCTTAGTCACAGAGCTCTCTTTCCAGGTGGCATCTCGTTCCCGAGAGGCGAGTTCAGCGTCAAGCCCCTTCTAGAGGAACATGCTGGGGGATGGGGGGGTCCCTGCCCTCACACACCAGTATGGTGTCCACGATTACCTGAGCTGTAAGCACCTGTGGCCAGCGGCCTCCTCCTCTCTCCAGCTTCCCGGGAGGGATGGGAGTGCAGGGATGGAAGAGTGAGGGGGACGTGGAAACAGAGAAAGAAAGAGGACAATGGAATGAATGGAGGAGGTGATGGGAAAGGATGGTGTGGACATCTCCCCCACTCAGACCCTTGGAACCCAAGGTGACAAAACCATGAGTCCACTCTGGCCTCTCCAGAGAGACCCTCGTTCTGTACCTGTCAGACCCTCTGATGACAACGGGTCCAGGCCTCATGACAAGGTCTGGGAGTCCCCAGCACAGGCCCAGACACCCACATAGTGGCTGGAGGCAGGTCTGAGAGAGGATGAGACAAAGAATGGAAGAGGAGGAGGAGAAGCAAGAGGAGGTGGCAGCCCCGGGGGGCCCCTACCTTTCCCCAGGGCAGAAGAAGGTGCTGCCTGGCCGGTGGCAGGTGGCAACGGGCGGGTAACGGGAGGGCGCTCCGTCGGGTACTGGCGCCCGCCGCACCTCCAGGGGCCGTAGGCCCCCGTTGCGGGCCCGTTGCACGTGCTCAAACAAGAGGGCCAGCTCTCTGCAGGACAGGGCACCGTCAGCAGCAGGCAGGGCCCTGGCACCGCCCCCTCACCCAAGGGCACTGAGCTCCTGACAGATCTTGCCAGGCCCTGCCTCTCTGGAGGTGCTCGGCAAACACCCCAGGCCCGTGTGGGCAGGGGTGGGGGTGGGAGACTAGCCTTCCTCCCTCTCTCTCTACACTCAGCTCCTGGGAAACCCTCAAGGGTGCCAAGTATGACAGTGCAGGGTGGGCGCCACTCGAGGGCACCCTCCCAAGGGGGCAGGTGGGAGCTCAAATCCACTTCAGTCTCTGCTCAGCAAGCCGAGCTCCTGGACGTGGAGCTGTGCCCACCCGGAGGCCAGCGGCAGCCCTCAAATCCTCGCCCTCCAGATCCGGCTGGATTTTAGGGGGAAACTGAGGCTGAGGAGGGAGACTTGATAGGGCAGCCCAGCTTCCTCCTCCTGCAGCATTCACTCTTGCCACTGGGCTCTTGGAGACCAGATTGAGGGCTCAGCTTCTTCTTAACTCTCAGGCTTTCTTGTTTCTATAACCCAAGAAGGATATCTCCTCTCTTTGTCCTCTTTGTCTATTGTATGGATGAGGAAACCGAGGTCCAGGGAAAAGGAGGATCAGTGGACCCAGAATTTCCAAACCAAGCTCTGTTCCTCTTTCCAGAGGACCCAAGACCACCTTCCCAAATCTTTCCTCCCCATCACACACCATATTTCTAACAAACCAGCCCCTGCCCCACTCCCCAAGGCCTGGCCTTGAGTCCTTAGGACTACTTCTAGAAAGGATGGCTCCTTTTAATCTAACCAGCATCCCTGTCTCTAAGGTGGGAGCTTGCCTCTGCCAGGTGGAGAGATGGGGGGAACCAGTGTAATTCTGGGAGCCCCTCCTTCCCAGCCCCTTCTCTCCTGCTCCTCCCCTGGAAGGCCCCTGGGGCTGAGAGGGAGCGGGGATGGGGGCAGCCAGGTGTAGGGGTGAGTGGGATCACGCAACAGCTGCTCTTGGAGAACTAATGAGGCAAAAAAGGCACCGGCAAAAACGCTGAGCACAGCAGCCTGGCCCCGCCTTGCTCACTGCCCGCCTGCCCACGGGACTGAGCCGCTCTCCAAGGTCTTCATTCCTGCCTCAGGGCCTGGCCAGGCACCTGGCCACACGAACCTTGGTGATGCTATTAATGATCCCCCTGTGTGGAGCCACCCCCGTGCAGTCTTACCCCAGCCTGGGCCAGTGGGGCGAACCCACTTCTGGGCCCTAAGGCTGCTGCCTGGGACAGTAAAATCAGTTACGCATGGGGGTGCTGGGGTGGGTGCTTGTACCCAACATGGCACACACGTTCTTGCCCACGCCACGCTGTCTCTACCCAGCTGCAATACGCCAGGCTGGCGAGCGCTAACACTGCCCCCAACTCAGACCGTGGGGAGTGAGCTGCCTGGGCCACTGCCCTGAGTGGCAACAACTCTGGGTGAGCATGTGGCCTGCTAACACCCCAGGACCCAGGGCTCAGCCAGCAGGGCAGGGTTCCACCCCATGCCCTGTGTCCAGTGTCACCGCATTCCCTGGTATAGCAGAGTGGGACAGAGGACGTTCCAGGCTCTGGGTGACATAGGATCTACAGAGCCAGCCCCAGATGCTCCCATGGGAGCTGTCACCCCTTTGCCCTCCCACCAGGGTTGAGTCCCAGCCATTTGTCCCCAAGGGGCATTACTACCAGCCACCCACCTCCCCTTCCCCCTGCAGTAGGACCTACTTGAAGGACGGGAGGATGCTGTCATAGTAGTACCAAGTGGCTGTCAGGTAGGCCCGGCTCGTGTCGGTGGAGTACAGGCGCCATGCAGCCTGGTGGTGTGGAAGAAACGGGAAGGAGGCGGTGGGGGACAAGGCATCAGAGAGGCCTCTCAGCCCCCCACCAGCCCTCTGCCCCCAAAAGAACCCAGTCCTCAGGCCAGTTGAAGGGTACTCGGAGCCAGAGGCCAGTTCCAACTCCATAGCCACCAGCAGGGCTAGAGGGAGGCCTGGAGAGAAAAGACTGCCCCAAGGTGACGCACAGTCAGCATCAGAGCCAGAGGCCTTGGAGCGTGGGAGTTAAGAGCTGCGGTTTTGTCATCAGGTAGAAGTGGGTTTCCAATCCCAGCTTTGCCACCTACTCATGTGGGCAAATTAAGTAAATGTGCAGAGCCTCAGGTTCCTCATCTGTGAAACGGACATAATACTACTTACCTAACAGAGTGTTGTGAGGACTAAATGGGCAAATGTATATTAAATGCCAAGCGCAGTGCATGGCACATAGTAGGCACTTAATACCTAGTTCCCCCCCCCTTTTTAAAATATCTTTATTGGATTATAATTGCTTCACAATGGTGTGTTAGTTTCTGCTTTATAACAAAGTGACCAAGTTCCAGTTTCTGCTTTACAACAAAGTGACCAAGTTCCCCCTTTAAACACTCCTGTTATCCTGTTACCACAGCTGATAAATATCTATTCATTGTGTATTTGATTAATGTCTTTCTCTCTCCTTAGACTGTAAGCTGTGTCTTGGTCAGCACTGTATCCTCTGGCACCTGATGGGTGCTCTGCAAATGTTTGGGGAATGAACACTGACTGAATAAACCATTGTTACTAATAATAACCCCACCCCCTCCTTCCCAGCTGCCTGTCACTGCCCATGGGATTGACGAGGGGAGGAAACAGCATCACCTACCAACCCCTCAGCATCCATGAAGTTACAGGGTTTCCTCTGCGGCAGGAGGGATGACGATCAGACAAGAGGAAGGACAGTCCCTCTCCCCCCAGGTAAAGAGAAGAGCCAGGTAGGGACTGTGAGTGGGGTGATCAGCGAGGGCAAGAAGGCTTGGGAGGTGCTGGGCAGGAGGAAGCAGAACTGGACCCTTCTTCGGGTGCCTCTTGTCCTTAAGGGACGGCCCACTGCTGACCTCACTGGCCAGGCACCCTCCCAAGACAGGAATATTTTTACTTCCTGCTTGCCTAGGCCCCTGGCTTGGGCTGGGGAGCAGCTGCCAGAGCTGTCTCATTAATTATGGGCACCACAATACCAGCTGTCTCTCAGCCCGGCCAGTGCCAGCCGCCTGCCCCTACGATGCCCCTCGGAAGGCCAGCTCCCAGGGAACAGCAGCCATTGTGCCCCAAGGGATGCTAAGAAGGAAAGGTTGGGCTGGTGGCTGGAGATAGTAGAGATGGGAGGGGGGGTTCCACCCTGGGGAGGAAAGATAAGGGGGCCTTGAGTCAGACCTGGGCTGGGGGGTCAGAGCATGCCCAGCTGGGGAGCCGGCCGAGGCAGGCTGTGCATATGTGCCCTGAACTATTTCTCGCCGAGGTTTCTCTTGCACAAGGCTGAGTCACGGAGTCACAAAAAAATCAGAGTCTTGCCTCAGCCCGTGCCCCGTCGGAATGCCTCAGACAGTGGGGGAAACTGAGCCCACACACTCCTGCTTTTTTCCCACCCGTCTGGCTGTTCCTTCTCTGCCTCCTTGGCTGGCTCAACTCTGACCACCCAGCCACGAAGTGCTGAGGTTCCTTAAAGCCCAGCTCTGGACCATCTTCTCTTCTCCTTCTGTCCTCTCCCCACTGGGCAAGCACTTCATTACCATCTGCACACAAGGCCCAGCCCATTCCTCACCTCGGCTGCACACCACTACATCAGTGGCCTCCTCAACATCCCCCCTCGGGGGCTCAGAGGCCCCTCAGACTCTGCATGCCCCAAGTCTGGTCCCCCTCCAGTGAGGAGGGTCATCCACCATCCAGTCAGGCAAGCCAGTCACCCTGCCATCTCCCTCTCCCTCACTCCTGATGTCACCAATTTCACCTCCTAAATACGCAGCATCTGCCTATTTCCTTCCATCTCATCTGTCGCTACCCTAGTCCAAGTCACCCGCCACCCCGCCTCAGCCAGACTGTTCCCGGAGCCTCTTATCTGCTCCCTCCACACACCCAGGTCACGCTCCAATCCACTCACCACCTTTCAGAACACATATCTGATCATGTCACCCCTTCCTCCTGCTCCATACCTGTTAATGGATCCTAATTGTTCTTAAGAAAACGTTAAATTCCTCTCTCTGGCCCTCAGGTCTAGGCCTCGCCCACTTATCCAAACCCTTCCACTTGAGCTTTCTGTTCCCGTCTCAACTAGCTTCCTTCCTGTTCATCAAACACATCCTGCTCCCTTTCACCACGGGACCGTTGCACACGCTGTTCCCTTACCTCGAAGGCTTCCCCCTTCACCTCTTCACCTAGTTAACTCCTACCCATCCTCCAGCTCTCTGCTCAAGTGTCAGTTTACCACTGTAGTCATCCCTGAGTTCCCCTTTAAGGTCAGATCAGGCCAGGTCCCCTGTAAAATGCTCTTCAGAGAACCATTTCTTTCTTTCAACGTGTTTCTCTCGGTTTGTAGCTACAACATTCACTTGTGGGGTGAATTAAGGTGTTGGGAGTAGAACAGGCTTACTGATGACTGCACAGCTGATGGGTGGCAGGACTGGGTTTCCACTAGGGACCTAGGGCCTCTTGTCCAGTCTCCACTCCACTTCAGGCCATGTAGAGTTGGGGTTGCAGTGGGTCAATGGGACAGCTCTGGCTAGCCCTGAACTGGGCATGTGGTGCAGGGAGAAATTTCTGACAATCTTAGCCAGCGTCCTAGCTCTGTCCCTGACTTGGCAGGTGACCCCAGAAAAGTCACATCTCTCTGAGCTTCAAAGTGGAGTCATAGTTGTGAAGCTGGGACACGAGGGTCATCATACAGAGCTGACACACCAATTCAGTTCAGGGGCTTCCTGGGCGTCCTGTACCTGGATGAGGTTGGCTGCTGGCATCCTCCGCTTCTCAAAGTGCTTCTGCCTGTGCTGCTCCTGCACCTTCAGGGCAAAGCCGGAGCCAAGGATGCCCTAGGATGATAGGCATGGTTCGCGGAATATGGTGATGGTGGGGACAACAAAAGGCAGCAAAGGTGCCCCCACCGCTGCCCATCTGAGGTGCCCACCACCACTCATGCAAATGCTGGACGGGGCTTAAGCAGGATCTGTCCCCAGGACGCCCCCGCCCAGGGCTGGGCCATCCTAAGTGGAGGGGGACTCACGGCAGGCAAGGCAAAGAAGGAGACGCCTAGTAAGGCGAAGCCAGCAGCCAGGACCCTGCCCAGCCACGTGTGTGGTGTCTTGTCACCATAGCCAATGGTCGTCAGTGTAATCTGGGAACACAAACAGGTTACCTGCAGGGCTGGTTACGGGGGCCACCCACAGGAGCTTGTTGGGTCACAGGCAGGTGGGAGCCTGATCACAAGGGAGGGGGCCTCCATGGTTGCCCACAGGGACTGGTCACAAGGACTTGTCACGGGGGCTGGTTAGAGGCATAAGTGGATTCTCCCCCTCCCCCGTGCTGGTGGAGGAGAGGGGTACAGGTCACAAGGGCTTGATGTAGGGAGCTAGATGGGGTCACATGCTGGTCCACTGGAGGACTAACACAGAGGCTGGTCACGAAGGTCCCAGCCTTAGTCAAGAGGACAGGGACAGGCCCCTAGGTCGGGGTCACGATGATCAGGCCGGGGAGGGTCCCAGGGAGAAGGGCGGCCCTGCACAGACCCTCACGCACCGTCCCCCACCAGAGCGAGTCGGCGTAGGAGGAGAAGTCGGAGTTGGCGTCCTTCTCAGCCAGATAGACCAGGAAGGAGGCGAAGATGAGCACCAGAAACCCGAGGTACCAGGCGGTGATCAGCTCCTGTGGGGTCAGCAAGGGATGAGACCATACACCTGGCACAGGTGGGGAGGTGGACGGCTCCCAGAATGGCCTATGGGAGGCGTTCTGAAAGGGGATAAGAGTACCCACCTCTCGGAAGTCCCTGGAGGTGGCTCTGCCTGCCTTTCTTTCTCAGCAACTCCCTTCAAGGAGACCCTGCCCCGCCTTCAAGGAAGAGCGAGGCCCTCACAAAACCTCAGAGCATGCCCCGGCCCTGCACTTGACCCTCCAGGTTCCACGCTCAGACCTCCGCCCACAAGCCCATCTTGCACCGCCCCCCAAGCCCCACTTTCAGGCTTCCATCCCGCCCCACACCCTGTCCCGCCCCAGCCCCACCCTCAGACCCCGCTCCAGCTCCCCACTTCCCTGTAAGCGTAGACCCCCAAACCCGGAAGCTCCCAATTGAGACTCTCAAGCCCTGCCCTTCAGGCCCCGCCTCCTGGCCTGGTCCTGACCTCCCCTCCAGACCCCGCCCTTGCCCCGCCCCCCGAGGTAGCCCCTGTGGCCTCGACCGCGCTGGGTCCCTGGTCTCCCCTACCACGGCCCCGCCTCCGCTCGGCCCCGCCCCTCCAGCTGCCGCACCAGCTCCGCCCCGGACGCGCCCCCGGACACGCCCGGCCTCACCTTGCTGTGAGCGTAGACCACCGAGCCCAGCAGCTTCCAGGTGCCGCCGCGGCGGTCCATGCGCACCATGCGCAGGATCTGCAGGAAGCGCATGCTGCGCAACGCAGACGTGGCAAAGATGTTGCCCTGCGTGCCGGCGGCGATGACGGCCACCGAGGCCACGAACACGATGAAGTCTGCAGGAGCGAAGAGCGGGCGAGGTCATGGCCAGCGCCGGGGAGCCAACCTACCCTGTGCCTGGACCCGAGGTTGGGGGTTCCTGGGGCCGAGGGGATGATTGGGAAGGTCTGTTGAGTCTGTGTCAGCAGCCAGGGTCCTGGGGTCAGGGTGTTAACCCTGGGGCTTGGGGGTCAAGAGTCAGGCGGGGCTGGGTAGGCCCATTACCGATGACACAGAAGGGTTTTCTGGCAAAGCGGAAACGGCCCTGCCATCCTCGGTAGCGGCAGCAGCATCCCGCGGACCAGATGCGGATGATGTACTCCAGACCAAACACCACGATCATCACGAATTCCTGTGGGACCAGGGGCCTGAGTTCTGGTCCCCACTCTTCAGGACCGGGGTCTAGGTCACACGGCACCCACCCAGCCCGGAGTCCCTGGGTTAGGGGTACTAGGATTTCCTCAGACCACCTCTCCTGGAGGTTCTTACACCTGGATGGACCTGAGGAGGATTCCAGAAGGAAGTGGCTTCTTCCATGTCTTCCAAAGAGACTGAAAGCCCAAATCTATCCTCCCTTGCTGTCCCCATGAGCTGTCTGGGTTTTTCTTCTCCTCATCCCACCCTCCCCCTCCCAGCCATCCCAGCCTCTGTAACCCTGACCAGGTGACATAAGGGGTGGTTGGTTGTCTGTCACTGTGACCCTCCAAGGTGCTTCCTGTTAGGGGGAAAACCCCAATCACACCAGGGGTGGTGTTAGCAGTTTTGATCCTGAGAAGGAGTGGCTCTCCTCTGGGCCCATCATAAGCCCTGGCATAGAGGCGGGAGCTCTCCCAACACCTGCTATAAAGCAAGGGATGAAGCCCAGAGAGGGGCAGCCACCAGGTCAGAGAACACAGCACAGCAAGCCACTCTCTGAGCCATGGTATGAGAAGCCTCACTCCACCTTCACCCTCAGACCAGAGGTGCCACCCCGACACAGCCTCCCTCAGACCCAGACTCCGGCACTCACCAAGATAAGGAGACACTCGTTGGCAATTTCCTGGTGCTCCTGGATAGTGGACAGCACGGACAGCACCAGGCAGCTGAAGACCAGCAAAAATCTGCAATAGCAGCATGAAGGAGAGGGTTAGACTGCTGGATGGACAGGGCAGCCAAGGAGCCTCTGGCAGGGGGCTGCAGAGTCAGAGTCAGAGGAGGAGGAGGGAAGCTTCATTTGGGAAGAATAATCTGGAAAGCAGACTAAGAATCAGAGTTCCCTGGAGCTGTGGCTTGGTGCTGGACACCAAAGGGAGAAGCCCCCGAGCTCCAGGAGGCTGCTGAGCTCACAGACACCTTACAGCCCTCTCAGTTGCCCTTGATGCAGCTGCCGCTCACAGAGGTGGTCACTGAGCTGTGGGTGGTAGGTCTGTCTGGGCTGGCCGAGGGAGGGACCCAGGAATCCCCCCTTCCCTATGAGTTCCAAGATGGCAGAAGCATGGTTTCACCAGCAGAATGAGGACAATTGCCTCTGCCTTCGTGGGTTCTTATGGAATTAAATACTGAGACAGCTAGGGAAGGAAAGGGGATTGAGGAAGACAGATAGGGAGGGAACATGCAGAGGGGGAGAGGGTGTGGGAGGGCAATCAGGCAGCAGGGAGCCATGCCATCGAGGCCTGGAACTTCCCGGAGGGCAGTGGAAAGCTACTGAGTGGCTCAGAACCAGATGGTTAGAAATGGAAGGAACTTTAGAATCCAACTCATCTGACACTCCCCTCAACCCTAATTGCACACATGAGGAAACTGAAGCCCAGAGGAGGAAAGGGATTCACCCAAGGTCACCCAGGATGTCCAGGACAGGGGTGAGATTAGAGCCAGGGTTTCCAACTCCCCAGTGGATGGGAAGAGGGGAAAGGGCGTGAGGAGAGAAGCTGCTGGACTCAGGGAGAATGTGAATATGTGAGGGAAGACAGGATGTGGGGCACAGGCTGCAGATGCGGCAAAAGGGAACGATGCTGGCCTCCCGGAAGCACTCCTCCTTTTGATGGGGGTGTTGCTCCTGGAAGAGACTCCAGAGGGCATGGGCTTCTCCGGAAACGCACAGACCTACAGCCTCTCCAAAGTGTTCCCAGAGTGTCCCCACCTGGGACTGCTGACACTGCATTCTGCCTGAAACGACTCACCACTGGAGCCTGATGAGATGCTGTTCACGGTGCCCTCACCCCAGCGCTCCTGCTGGGATGCCCCGATCCCACTGTTCCCTCAGAACGCCCCTCCCAGTGCTCGCCTCCCAAGTCACTGTCTATGGCGCTTTATTTGTGTTCATATTTCATCACGGCAGGGGCATGGGCTCCAAGTCAGAGAGACCCGGGTTCAAATTCCGGCCCTGCTGTGTGTGTGACCCTGGAAAAGTCACCTACCTTCTCTGAGCCAGTCTCGGCATCCGTAAAGTGGGGGCTGACGGGGGGATGGGGTGGGACATGGGAAGGGCGTGGCTCCACCCTGGCCCACTTACACCTCCCTGGACAGGGCTCCCAGCCTGCGTGGAGGGCAGGTATAGGGCTGCAGCCCAGCACATGCCCCGGGGGGGGAGGATGTAGGTGGTAGATGTCAGTAAAAGGTTTTGGTTGAATGAGTGAGGAAGAGGAGGCCTCCTTTGCCAGTTCCAGGCAGGAGCTGAGTCAGCAAAGACGTAAGGCACAGGGAGAGGTTGGGGAGAACACCAGCTCCTCGTGTTCAATAATTAACCACAGCAAACGCAGCGAACCCAGTGCTGCATCCACCGGGAATGGGGGCCACCACCGACACAGGGCTCAGGGGCGGAAGGGTACTCCTGAGGTTATTCCATCCAGCCCCCTCCTCTGGGAGGCCTGCAGCCAAATTTTGATGGGCCTTCACCCCAGCCCTGGACAGAAATCCTTTAATCCCACTGCTCAGCTGACCTCAGAACCTCAGGCAAATGAGTCACGTTTGGGGCTTCCTGCTGAGTGTTTCAAGATTTTTTTTTTCTCACCACTATTCTTTCCATGTCGATAGGTACACATCTCTAAAATGTCCACTTCACAATAGGTTACGTGAAAAAAGCAGATTATGAAACCTTAAAGCAATGTGATTCCAACTTTTAAAATATAGATATTTTGTGTACACATACCAAGAGTCAGCAGGGCTGATCTCTGGGTGGCAAAATTAAGAATGATTTGGCATTTGTTTTGCTTTTTGCTTATCTTCATTTCTTAGTTTTTTGGGTTTTTTTGCGGTACGCGGGCCTCTCACTGTTGTGGCCTCTCCCGTTGCAGAGCACAGGCTCCGGACGCGCAGGCTCAGCAGCCATGGCTCACGGGCCCAGCCGCTCCACAGCATGTGGGATCTTCCCGGATCGGGGCACGAACCCATGTTCCCTGCATCGGCAGGCGGACTCCCAACCACTGCGCCACCAGGGAAGCTCATTTCTTAGTATTTTTAAAGAATAAACATGTGCTGCTTGGGTAATAACAAACTAACATCAATTTTAAAATGCATTTCCTTAAAAATACAAACGGGGGGGGAAAACCTTTAAATTCTGTCCCCACCCCTTTACCACAAGAGCCCTGGCCACTTTTTTAAAATAAATTTATTTATTTATTTTTGGCTGCGTTGGGTCTTTGTTGCTGTGCGCGGGCTTTCTCTAGTTGCGGTGAGCGGGGGCTACTCTTCATTGCGGTGCACAGGCTTCTCATTGCAGTGGCTTCTCTAGTTGCGGAGCACGGGCTCTAGGCGCATGGGCTTCAGTAGTTGTGGCACATGGGCTCAGTAGTTGTGGCGTACGGGCTTAGTTGCTCCATGGCATGTGGGATCTTCCTGGACCAGGGATCGAACCCATGTCCCCTGCATTGGCAGGCGGATTCTTAACCACTGTGCCAGCAGGGACGCCCCCAGCCTTGGCCATTTAGCAGGTGTGAGGGTGTGGCAGCCTCTCCCCGAGTCCAGTTCACCTGTCAACGGCCTGCTCAACATCTCTTCTCGGTTGTCCAGGGGGCTCTCAAACCCAACGTGTCTGAAAACAAACTCTCAATTTGCCCTAAAATCTCTCTCCTCTCTGGTTGCCCCATCTCAGGAATGGCACCACCTTCCATCCAGGGGCTCAGGCCAAGTATCTAAGAGTGACCCTTGACTCTTCCTTTCCCTCACCCTCCACATCCCGTCCTTTAGCAATTTCTATTGGCTCTAACTACAGAATGTAGCCCTGGACGGACTAACCCCCATCATCTCACCCCGACTGGTCTCCCTGCCTCCACTCTGGCCCAACAGGAACCCTCTTCAAAGCAATCAGTGTGATTTTCCTACAAAGCAAAGCTGGAAACCAGGACTCTCCACAGAACTCTCCTCTGATTTCCTTTGGCACTTAGAGAGCGGCAGTCAAATTCCTCAGCGTGTCCAGCAAGGCCCTGTGAGATCCGGTCCCACCCAGCCCTTGAACTTGATCTGCTTCTCTCCAGCCCCTCCATCATTGTGCTCCAGCCATTCTACCTTCCTGCCATTCCTGGAACACATCAAAAGTTTTTCCATCTCCAGGCTTTGCACTTGCTTTGCTGTTTCCTCTGCCTATTTATTGCTCCCGTACTCATCCAGATCTCTGTTCAAACATCACTTCCTTGGAGAGGCCTTCCCCAGCCACCCCCTCTCCAAAGTAATGGTCCCATCCCCGCTCTCTCTCCCCTGAATCTGCTTTATTTATTTTTTCATAGACCGAGCAAACGAACAGCAGAAATTCACCTTAAACAAACCTCAAAACATCATGTCACCAAAGCCCCCAGTTTGTACCCACTGCAGAGGCTCCCAAAGTTCCAAGCACATCCATCCCTGACCCGTTGGGCCCCCCAGCAGCCTTCCTGAGAAGCGAAGAGAAGGCAAGTCTCCAACCCTGACCAGCTCTATTTGGTAGACACTGTTTAAAAAACGCCTGAACTTCGCCTCCTGCAGCCTTCATACACTGGCTGGGGGTTAGATGCTCGGTACAGTTGAACAGATATACTTAGTTTGTCAGAGAACATCTTGTGTTCCAGGCAGCTGAATAATTATCCCCATCTTCCAGTTGAGGAAATGGGCCCAGGGAGGGGCAGACTTGCTCCAGATCACTCAGTGCATCCATGGCAGAGCTAGGGCCCAAGCTGCCTTGGCCCTCCTGAGAGGTCCTCACACAGACACCCATTCTTGGGACAGCAGAGAGAGATCATGTCTGGAGCTTAGGGATGGAGGGGACAGGGAGAAGGAGCCCTGAGCTGGGATCTGGTCATGTCTGCCAGAACCAGTGTGTGACTTCATTCACACAACAAATAAGGATTGTCTAAGGATTGTCTCTGGCCCCTTCTGAGGCTTCAGTTTCCCCATCTACAAAGTATAGGTGGTACACAGGAGCTGGCTGGCTTGGGCCGTCTAAAATCACTCCAGGGCTTCCCTGGTGGCGCAGTGGTTGAGAGTCCGCCTGCCGATGCAGGGGACACGGGTTCGTGCCCCGGTCCGGGAAGATCCCACATGCCGTGGAGCAGCTGGGCCCGTGAGCCATGGCCGCTGGGGCTGCGAGTCCGGAGCCTGTGCTCTGCAACGGGAGAGGCCACAACAGTGAGAGGCCCGCGTACCGCAAAAAATAATAATAATAAATAAATAAAAAATAAAATCACTCCAGCAGAAAGGCCAGGCTGGCAGCCGCTTACTGGAGCATCTTTGCCCAGCATGCCTGGCTGCAACTTGGGGCCCATGTTCTCCCTTGCCCAGCCCAGCAGGCAGAGCTGGGACGGGTGGGTGATGCCTGGCTGGCTCTCCCTGGTTAGAGCTTATTATGAGACTTACTGCAAGCCTTCCTCCCCCACTCACCCATTCTGTGACTATCCCACGCATTCAGGAGGGCAGCAAGGAGATTAGGGATGAATATAGGTGAATGGTTTGCTTGGATCCATGGTTGTCAAACTACAGCGGGCATCAGAATCACCTGGCAGGCTTATTAAAATACTGATTTCTGGGCCTCACTCCTACAGCATTTGATTCAGTAAGTATGAATTGGGGCCTGAGAATATGCATTTCTACAAAGTTCCTGGTGATGCTAATGCTGCTCCCCTGGGGACCACACTTTGAGAATCACTAGGTTAGTGAATGGGAGTGGTCATGGCTGACTCAATTATTAGCCAACTCAAGGCTTTTTAAACAGTTGTAATCATTGCCTCCCCCCACCCCCACCCCGCCCCGTGGCCTTCCTCAAATTAATGCCAGGGAACCCCAACCCTAACCCTAACCCTAGCCACAGTGTACGAAGGCGGGGGTCGGGGTGGGGGAGGAAAAGCCTGCTGGGGAGGTGGGTCTCATGCCAACCTCAGCTTCACCCCAGTTCGCTGTGTGACCCCATAACTGGTCCTGCTGGCCAAGGCTTCCTGTTGGCCAGGCACTGGCGGGGCCCTCCATGTGCATATTCATAACCCCTCCTCCCAGCGCTTCCATGAGAGCAGCACCACAGTCACCATGGTCCATCAGTGAGGAAACAGGCTCCGAGAGGTGTACGATGGCTGTACAACACTGTAAGTACACTAAAAACCACTGAATTGTGTGCACTTTAGAAGGGGGGCACGTGGGGGGCTTCCCTGGTGGCGCAGTGGTTGAGAGTCCGCCTGCCGATGCAGGGGACACGGGTTCGTGCCCCGGTCCGGGAAGATCCCACATGCCGCGGAGCGGCTGGGCCCGTGAGCCATGGCCGCTGAGCCTGTGCGTCCGGAGCCTGTGCTCCGCAAAGGGAGAGGCAAAAAAAGGGAGAGGCCCGCGGACCAAAAAAAAAAAAAAAAAAAAAGGAAAAAAGAAGATAGAAAGAAAGGTATACTAGGTTGTCCAAAGGCATAGGGCCAGGACCTGAACCCAAGTCCACCTGGACCACCAAGGCATAGTGCCTCTCTGGGCCTCAGTTTCCCTGTCTGCAATATGAGGTGGGGAGTGTCAGCCTTATGACTACCCAGCAGTGTGAGCCATTAGTTCAGCTCCACACTCTTTGGGGATGTCTGTGGTGAGACAGATGCTTGAAGGCTGGAGAGATGGGGATATGGAAGGCAAGAGGGCTGGGGTAGGGCGGGTTAGGCAGCAGAAAAGAGGTTATCGCAAAAAAAAAAAAAAAGAGGTTATCGCCTAACCTCTCTGAGCCACATTTACTTAAGAAATGTTCATTGCAGGGACTTCCCTGGTGGCGCAGTGGTTGAGAATCTGCCTGCCAATGCAGGGGTACGGGTTCGATCCCTGGTCCGGGAAGATCCCACATGCCGCGGAACAACTAAGCCCGTGTGCCACAACTACTGAGCCTGTGCTCTAGAGCCCACGAGCCACAACTACTGAGCCCACACGCCACAACTACTGAAGCCGGCATGCATAGAGCCCATGCTCCACAACAATAGAAGCCACTGCAATGAGACGCCCGCACACCACAACGAAGAGTGGCCCCCACTCACCGCAACTAGAGAAAGCCCGTGGGCAGCAATGAAGACCCAACACAGCCAAAAATAAATTAATAATAATAATAATAAAAGAAATTGTTCATTGCCATCCACACTCAGCCAGTTTTATTGTAAAGCCAGCAATTAATCATACAGGCCCCCAAGAAACTAACAAGTGTAACACAGTGGTGATATGATGGATGAAGTGATAACAGTGTACCCAGAGGCTGGGGGGAACCCCAAGATGGCTTTAGCAGAGTCAAAGTAGAGGGATCAGTGAAGAGGTGGAGGTGACGAGGACAGGGGTGGGGTGCCCCAGGCAGAGGAAGCAGGATGTGTGTGCAAGCAACAGAGATGTGGGAGCCTGGAGGCAGCACAGGGCAGCCGGTTGTTCTAGCAAGTGCGGGCCTAAAATGAAGGGGCAGAGGAGAAACCAGAGATGGCCAGATCAGGCACCCTCAGAACTTAAGGCAATGGAAAGCCACTGAAGAGTTTTAACAGAGGGAATGATATGGTCTGATTTGTGTTTCACGACCACAACTCAGGGGCAGTGGGGACCATGGATTAGAGACTGATCAGGAAAAGCAAGTAGGAAGCTCCACAATAGTTCAGATGAGAGATGACAGTGCAACACGAAAGAGAAGTGAATGGACTGGAGAAAGTGTTAGAAAGTGTTAGGAAGTAGGACTTGATGGTTAATTGGAAATGGGGACAATGAGAGAGAATAACTCATATTTCTGGTGTGGGGACTGGATGGATGAAGGTGCCATGACTGAACTGAGATGGGAGAGCCCAGTGGAGGAGCGGGTGTGGGTGTGATGAGCTCCGTTT